ATAATGTTAATCCTGTAACTTTTATCTTGTTGTTTTTTTTGTTTTTTTTTCAATTTGCTATGTACATTTTTTATTTTTCCTGATGGACTGCCCTCTTGTTTCTGGCATGAATATTGCATTTCTTGTTATCTCGCCCATGGATGTGTTTTAAAACCGCCAACAGCCTATTTGTACTAGTATGTTTTGAATCCGCTGTTTTGTTGTTACTGAAAATGGAAAATATGATTGCTTTGATATATCAATGCGGTTGGAACAACACATTTCTGCAATAAAAATATTCTTTGTTAAAACATGTTAAAACACAGGCAGTGGGCTGTAAGGAGCAGAAGATTGGGTCAGTGTTGGCAGAGCGTCTCCCCATCCCATTCAAATTCAAATTCTTGACTGAAAGAGCCTACAGTACATGTAAATGGGTAGCATTGCCTATATGCATTTGAAAATAATTAGTACCCCCCTCTGAGTGACTACGTGTTGAGTTCACATCTTGACTTTACTTCCTGATTTTTGGAAGACAAGACTGACCCAAGATACCTGTACATAGTGGAAAGTGAAATTGACATTGTCAAATTTAATAAAAATACAAAATAATGTTCACATTTGGGAACCGATTGGAAACATAGGACTCAATCTTTTGCTTCACATTGAGGGGAAGAGGCATTTTCCCATTGGTCCCAGTCCAGTTGGTTCTTTTCACCATTCTCATTCTTCATAAATATATTGAACAACTAAGGGTTAATTTGCAGGATTGATTGCTTACTTAGCCCTATATCAGTATATAGCATGAATAATAATCACACATCACTCATATTTGTTATGAATAATCATTTATCATTTATTAAATAGTAAGTCGCTTTGGATAAAAGCGTCAGCTAAATGCAATTTATGAAAGCTTCACTCAGGATTTTTTTTACCAAGTGTTTTTATTGCTCTTGGGGCATTAAAAACAAGATTTTAACTTTAGTTTTTTATATAATATCTGCATTTTCTCTTTTGAAAAACTAAGTCTTAGTTTGGCCATAGTTATTTAATATATAAAGACTATATATTATTGAATTACAAGATTAGATATACTTTATTTGATCTAAAATATTGATGTGTTCAAATGCTCTTCTAAACAAAACTGAAAGTCCAAGAAAAGTTGTCTTCCTGTTTTTGTGAATGAAGCGCCATCTCCTGGTTAAATCCTGAAATTGAAAATCTGGCAACGCACTCTTGGAAAATAGTGGGATGGCTTAACATTCCCAGATACTGGTCTTTGGCAGGTCTTAGGCAGGTAGCTGGAAGGTAGCAGGCAGGAATCTGGAGTCTGAAATAAGCTGCTCCACCTGTAAAAGTCTATCTTCCTAGTAAGGAATTTGAACAGCTAATCCACCTATTTATAACATCTCGTTTAGACTATTGTAACTCCCTGTATATTGGTGTTGATAAGTGTTTGATCCGTCGCCTGCAGCTGGTCCAAAATGCGGCTGCACGCCTTCTTACTGGGAAGAGACGTTATGACCACATCACACCCGTTTTGGCAGACCTTCATTGGCTTCCTTCCTGAGTTGTTGCACCCCCACGCTCCAGCTAGAGCATTGCGACCAGCTCAGCAAAACATGTTGGTGGTTCCTCGGTGCAGGAAAAAAACTTGAGGTGACAGGGCTTTCAGTGTTACAGCTCCCAGACTGTGGAACAGCCTCCCAGTACATATCCGGACTGCTGAGTCAATTGAACTTTTTAAATCTCAGCTAAAAACTCACCTCTTTGCACTGGCGTTTAATACTAGTTGAACATTACACTTTTACATTTGTATGTGTTTTTATATGTTTCTAGTTATTGTGCTTTTTATCATGTTTTTAATTATTGTTTTATTATTGTACTCCCATTGTGTTATTTTATATTGTAGTTATTGCCTGTACAGCACTTTGGTCAACTGAAGGTTGTTTTAAATGTGCTATATAAATAAATAAAGATTGAGATTGAACCATTTTATTTTGGATTGAGGGCTCCAAGTTTCCATATAGGATTATTTGATGTATAGTTCTTTATTTCTAAATGTTTTGTATCATTGCTATCCTGTTTTTTACATAAATGTACCTGTTATCTGATTGTTTTTGCTTCTGTAACTGTAAGGGAATACATTTGCCTATTTTGGCACCTGCAACCGATTAGCTAATAATCACAAATGTTCATTTCTTTGACCCCTTGACTCGACTATTTCTTGTTTAATAATCGTTACATGTCCTCAGGACCAAGTTCCCGTGTCCTGCCTTTAACCTGCTGATCACCCACTGCTCACTTAAGGTGGACTCACCTTTACAAGGGACCAGCTAGTCTTAGTGTCTTAATGCAAACGTTTTGTAAAGTGATGCTAGACCAAAGACGTGCTGTTGGGTTGTGTGCTCTCTGCAGGACGGGGTCTGGACTCAAAGATTGTTTATGAAATGAGAGCTTCATTCTGTTTTTGTTGTCCAAACAACGCCAACAGAGCGATACGTCTTCTTTCCAGCAGATGGCATAAATGTTACATCATCCAGTTCAACTGTCATCCACATATTAATGATTGAAAACAGCAATGTGTAAGATATGGCTAGTAATTGACTATTTCAACAGAATGTGAAGAGGTTACAGTCTTGAGGCCATGTCCAATATGTTTATGTTTTGTTTGATTAAATCTACTGAAATGAGCATTCAATGACTAAATTATTCTTAATTACTGTCATTACATCATGGGTTTGCATTGCAATATTAGAACTTATAAAACCCAACTTTATTTCTTCTAAGTTGCGGGTGTTCATTGTTTAGAAGTCCGCTGTGTTTCATCCAGGCGATTTTTGTTTGGTACTTTGGATCTTATACTGTTGGAAAGCCTGTTTATTTACCTTTCAAATGCTGCCACATTTGGAACATGCATTTGTGGGATGAGCAGCAGAGCTGAGTCTGTGGGGTGCGCCCATGAACAATGTGACAGATCTCTGCCAATGCCAAACAGCTTTTTTTGTCTGTTGACTCTTGTTTGGTGTTGTTTGGTGGATTGGATGATTAAAGTCTGATGAATAAAGACATATTGGCAACAATTTATTTATGAACAATGTATTAATTTAACAAGCAGCCTCAGTAGCGTGTTGAAGAACCAAACACATCCACAACAGCCTCTCCTCCTCATGCTGTCACCAACTGCTGTGGGATGGCATCCCATTCTTCAACCAGCATTTGAAGAGTGACCAACGTGGTTGTGTTGGTCACTCTGGCACGGACAGCAGGGCCAAGTTGATCCCACAAGTGTTCAATGGGGTTGAGGTCAGGACTGCAGGCAGGCCATTCCATCCTCTCCACTCCCAAACCTTGGAGGAAGTCTCTGATAATCCTCGCTTTGTCATCTTGGAGGATGGAGTTTTGTCTCAGACTGTTGAGATATGGGATCGCCACTGGTTGCATAATTTCAGTGAAGGGCAGTCATGGCAGGCTCATGGCAGCCGTACGAGACCAGATATTGGCTGCTGTGTGGCTTTGGCAGAGGAGATTTTTCAACTTTTTTATTACAGCAACCCACATACACTCAAAGAAATGATATGTTAGATTTACTTAATCTAGTTATGTCAACCGGCTGCACGTAACAAGGCTAAGTAAATAGGAAACAGACTAGTAAACTAATATTTACTTCTTGCATTTAAGTAAATCTTACCAAAGCATCTTAATTAAATGCTACATCATACAGTTATGTTGTATTTGCTTAACACAGTTATGTTGAATTTACTTAAATTGTTGTTTTTACTTAACACAATTATGTTGTATTTACTTAAAGTTTGCACTGATTTACCTAACACAGTTAGGTTGTAATTACTTAACACAAATTAGTTCCATTTATGTTGTAGGATTGTGTTATTTGCACTTAACATCATTTAATCCAAATTGCTCTATCAATATAAGTAATTCAAATGACTCCAACTCAGTAATTTGTATTCCGCTCACTTTATTTTAAATGTTCATTTTACACTTATAACATTGCATTTTGCAAACAACCATCTGAATTGCCACAACAATTCAACAACAAAAAAACACTTAACTCCAACAGCCCATTTGTGGTAGGTGCACATATTAGAATTTTAAAGCTCTTTGCGTAAAAAACCCATAACAGCTGCTGAACTTGACAGTGATGAGAAACACGAGTGACTCAAGAAGTTAACATGTGGGCTGAAAAGCTACAATAATGACTTATTATCTGAACATTTTATAAAATGCAACTTTACTATGAAGTATGGTGTTTTTATGTCTTTCCAAACACTTAGATGAAACGCATCACATAATATTGCTCAAGCACATAATGTGTTACAGTAGATCTTTGCCTCTGTTATACACATGAACATATGTCTTGAACTTTCAAAAGCAGAAATACAATTGTGAGTGTCTGTGTGTGTGGTGTGTCTCTCTGTGTGTGGTGTGTGTCTGTGTGTGTCTCTGTTTGTGGTGTCTCTGTGTGTGTGTGTGTGTGTGTGTGTGTGTGTGTGTGTGTGTGTGTGTGTGTGTGTGTGTGTGTGTGTGTGTCTCTGTGTGTGGTGTGTCTCTGTGTGTGGTGTGTGTCTGTGTGTGTCTCTGTGTTTGTGGTGTCTCTCTGTGTGTGTGTGTGTGTGTGTGTGTGTGTGTGTGTGTGTGTGTGTGTGTGTGTGTGTGTGTGTGTGTGTGTGGTGTGTGAGAGAATGTACCGAGATGGAAATGAACTGGACGTTATCTCTGTCACAGTATTTTGTCCTTGGGATTACTCTTGTAATCTGTTTTTCAGAACCTGCACCTTGGTTGACAGTCTGTTGCCATCCAACCCCATCAATACTTTTTGAATGAATTCAAATGTATGTTTCAGGTCCTTGGGGTAGCTCAGATTGAGGCTGTAAATCAGTCCAAGCAATACTGCCCATCCATTTGCCAAGTATTTCAGCTCTCGCAGCACTCCAACACCCTCGATGATGACGCCCGGGTTCTGCTCCTTCGTGTTTCACGAGATAGAGTCCCAATACCATTGACTCCATTTGGGTTGTTGCAAGTTCAACATCCTAAAGTGGGATTAGAACATAGTATTCATGATTATCAGTATGAGAACCCTGACACACATCATTTTATAATATGAAACAAATGAGCAAATCCTTTTATTGGATCCATTGTAAATAAATACATGTAGTTGTAAATGTACATGAACAATATAACCAAAGTAGCAGCAAATACTTTGAATAAAAAACAAATTCAATTATTTTTATTTAAAGAGGACATATTATGCAAATGTTCAGGTTCAAATTAGTATGGAGTGTCTCTACTTTAAAGAGTCCTCTCCTGCTGATGTTCAGGTGTATATCAGAATGTAGTGTCTCTACTTTAAAGAGTCCTTCCTGCTGATGTTCAGGTGTATATCAGTATGTAGTGTCTCTACTTTAAAGAGTCCTCTCCTGCTGATGTTCAGGTGTATATCAGTATGTAGTGTCTCTACTTTAAAGAGTCCTCTCCTGCTGATGTTCAGGTGTATATCAGTATGTAGTGTCTCTACTTTAAAGAGTCCTCTCCTGCTGATGTTCAGGTGTATATCAGTATGTAGTGTCTCTACTTTAAAGAGTCCTCTCCTGCTGATGTTCAGGTGTATATCAGTATGTAGTGTCTCTACTTTAAAGAGTCCTCTCCTGCTGATGTTCAGGTGTATATCAGTATGTAGTGTCTCTACTTTAAAGAGTCCTCTCCTGCTGATGTTCAGGTGTATATCAGTATGTAGTGTCTCTACTTTAAAGAGTCCTCTCCTGCTGATGTTCAGGTGTATATCAGTATGTAGTGTCTCTACTTTAAAGAGTCCTCTCCTGCTGATGTTCAGGTGTATATCAGTATGTAGTGTCTCTACTTTAAAGAGTCCTCTCCTGCTGATGTTCAGGTGTATATCAGTATGTAGTGTCTCTACTTTAAAGAGTCCTCTCCTGCTGATGTTCAGGTGTATATCAGTATGTAGTGTCTCTACTTTAAAGAGTCCTCTCCTGCTGATGTTCAGGTGTATATCAGTATGTAGTGTCTGTACTTTAAAGAGTCCTCTCCTGCTGATGTTCAGGTGTATATCAGTATGTAGTGTCTCTACTTTAAAGAGTCCTCTCCTGCTGATGTTCAGGTGTATATCAGTATGTAGTGTCTCTACTTTAAAGAGTCCTCTCCTGCTGATGTTCAGGTGTATATCAGTATGTAGTGTCTCTACTTTAAAGAGTCCTCTCCTGCTGATGTTCAGGTGTATATCAGTATGTAGTGTCTCTACTTTAAAGAGTCCTCTCCTGCTGATGTTCAGGTGTATATCAGTATGTAGTGTCTCTACTTTAAAGAGTCCTCTCCTGCTGCTGATCAGGTGTATATCAGTATGTAGTGTCTCTACTTTAAAGAGTCCTCTCCTGCTGCTGATCAGGTGTATATCAGTATGTAGTGTCTCTACTTTAAAGAGTCCTCTCCTGCTGATGTTCAGGTGTATATATATATATATATATATATATCTGTGTTTGGCTATGTTTCAACTTACCAAATATTCCTTTATGAAGCTCTCGGAACTTTCATTCAAGTAGACGCAGAGCGCTTTAAGGACACAGTCCCGTCGTGTTTCAACTGTGGGATCCTGAGGGACAAACACATTTTCAAAATCTTCACACAAGAATACTGATTATGCTTGTGTGCTGATTTTTGGCAAGTCAAAGAAAGGGGGTCAGAGAGGTTAAAATATATTTATATGAGAGGGACAACAAGAGAGAGAGATAAAGAGAATATGGTGTTGCAGTGCCCAAACTACACAATTTATTACAACTACATACCTTGTCCATGGCTGCCATGATCAGGCCCAAATTGCGTCCTGCTGTTCCCCCCTTCTTTTTGAAAACCTTCATCAACTGAGACGAATGGCGATCCAGTTGAGACATGAAGGTAGGCAGCAGCGGAACGGTGGTGATGCGGGTGAATTCTGCGTTTACCTGCAACACATTGTGATACAGGTTCAAATGTTTTGTTTAAAGCTAATAATATCCATCAAGTGTCATAGCAGAAAGGACAGGACATCTACTGGTGTAAACCAAACAAAGAATTTCAGCTGAGGTTCTTTTCTTATACATGTGCATCTATTAAAATAGCTCTGCACTTAATACAGGTAAAGATTCAACATGACATCTACTTAAATGTGTTTTAAGAGCATTCCATGTTTTGAAAGAGCATGGGCATTCATAGTATGTGCATGGATATGGGTGTCTCTGACCAAAATGGCCGTGTTTTAATTTATAGTGCTTCAGTAATTGGTACCTTGTAGATTGAGTCTCAGTACACTGTTTGCATCTCCACATTCAAAACCTAGAGAAAAAGAGAAATGTGTTAATGATCCAAATGTATTGTAAATAACAACTATTATTGCAGCCATTAACATAATTCAGGGTGTGAGGTGCAGGATATAGCAACCCATTACTGGATCTTAAGCAGTGGTGGAAAAAGTACTCAGATCCTGTACTAAAGTAAAAGTATAAATACTCCATTACTTGCTATAGTCCCAAGTTCAAAATAATACTTAAGGTAAAGTTCCAAAGTGTTATTAGCCAAATATAATAAAGTATCAAAAGAAAAGGTACTTTGTGCAGAAAGCCTTTTGTAAAAGGGTTGCATCATAGAATAAAAATGAATGTTCTTATAATAAAAAATCTACATATATACAAGATTTTTTAATGTTGTGATTTGTTAATATAGAGCATATTTTGGAAATAACTGAGTAAATTAGTAGTACATGTATATGAATATAAACATTATCTAAAAAGGTAACTACAAGTGTCAAATAAATGTAGTGTTGTAAAAGTACAATATTTCCCACTGAAATGTAATTGAGTAGAATTACAGAGTAGCAGAACATGGAAATACTTTTCCACGATAAATAACTGTTTAAACACAAGCAGTTGCCACGGCAGGTAAGTGGCAACTGCCACACACATTCGCTTGGCTCGGCACCTAGAGTAACACCCCTTCAGCAGCCGCAGTTGTCTCAGCAAATAGAGTGGCGAAGTCCCTCCCCTTCCGGTTGAGCCCCATGGGACCTTATTTCGGAAAAGTTATGCATTGAAGTCAATGGAGAGAGAAAGATTATCTTTCGATCCCGTTTGAATTGTGCCACGAATTACACATATGATGTTTGTCAATTTAAAAGATAATTTTGCAAGTCAAAAAAATTAAAATGTGTTGTAAAACTGTGAAGTAACACATTTGTTTGTGTGAAAGGCTCAATGAACTACATCTCTGGTCAACCACACACGTCACCAAGATGGCCGTCACTACTGTCTTGTCAACAAACGAAATGAAACACGTCCTGAAGAATGTCATGCAAAGCCTGCCTTCCTTTGATTCTCTCTGAACTGCCTGGTCGTTTTAATGTTTAATGTCAACCATTTGTGCAGATAGCATGAAGTAGAAAAGATCGCCGATGCTAACGTTAGCGTTAGCATTTCTCCCCCGGAATTAAATGGTGTATTATAGAATGATCACACCGGTGACAGTACTATTCAAAGGGTTCACGAAATATGACTACTACTCTTACTGTTTAACATTTTGGGTTACTTAATGTTACTTAATGTTAAGGCTAATAAAAATGACAAGGCTGTAATGCTAACTAACGTGCTAGCTACTAGCTAGGTAGCTAACTTGATCAAGCCACTCCTGGTCGTTTCATCAGACGGGAAGCAAAAGAACGAGCAAGACCCATTGCTGGTATAATAACAACCTGGTACTAAGCACACAGGCATCTTGTTAAAGTTATCTTATCTTAGCCAGCGCCATATAGATAGATTATATCTATATTGCGCTGATCTTAGGTATCTGAATGGTGGAGGTAAACAATTGTGACATCACTTACGCGACTCTGGGATTTGTAGTCTTTCTAGTTACGTATTTTTCATAGTCTTATATTTCAACAGTTTTACGACAAACTGTGACTTTTTTGACATGAAAATAATTGTTTAAGATTGACAAACATCATATGTGTAATTCATGGCACAATTCAAACGGGATCGAAAGATAAGTTTTCTCTCCCCATTGACTTCAATGCATAACTTTTCCGGAATAAGGTCCCATACCCCGGAAGTAAGTGGGAGGGACTTCGCCACTCTATAGTGGCATCTGCGGCTGAAGTACCTGCCACTATTTAATCTTGCTCTCTCTCTCTGATTATTATAAAGAAACACGTTTTCGGGTGAATTACATGTCTATTTAAGAGCTGTCTTAATGGAAGATGTGCTTGTTGAGTGTGTTCCTGTACATGCTTTAAATAATTCACACTTTGATATTCCTGGCCGACATAATTAACGTAACGACCAGGCACGGCTCCGGCTGACGCAACAGTACAGTGCACAGATGGGATTTTTATTTCTTCCAAATAAGCTTTACAATTGAACAAAAAAACCTCCCTCAGGGCGTTACACTTGATGAAGTTATTTTTAATAGACTTAGAAGACCTTAACCGACTATGACCTTTTTGGCACTGGAGATGTTTGCAACCAGGCTCTCAAATCTTTAAATCAAGCACATTTAAAAAAAAAAATTTAAAAAAAAGGAGGGAAAAAACGTGTCCACTTACTTTTGGTAAGAGCTAACATTACTATTATAACCACATCAAGCTAAAATCATTAAATACATAACGATTGACTTATACAGACAAAGCTTGAAATGTCACCTCTTTTGTGACATATTCTAACACTTTTAAGTGCAAGGGAACATAATTAAAAAGTGACCGTTAAGCTAGCTGTTAGCTAGCTGTTAGCTAGGCTGCACCGCTTTTCAAATCTATCATCAACGTATACAGTTGGTAGCAGGGAAATCAAAAATACACATCAACTTTTGTATTTCAGGGACCGTTTGTGTTTAATATATGTTAATATTTAAGAAACTTACCATAACATCGCAGGATGGCACAGGAAAGGGAAAAAATGCGGTTCTGTCATCTCACAGGATTCAAATGACACATGTCCCCGGTCTTACAGCGCATGTGCTGAGAAAGTACGGCAAGCACTTTGGGACAATCAGTGCGTTTTAAATAACTTTACCATTTAAATACAACACAACATGGTAATGTAATCCCAAAACTTTGAACTTTTACATAAATGCAATTAAAGTCTCTTGATTTAATTGTAAAAAGTGCATTTACTTAGTAGTTTCAATATAAAAAAAGCAATTAATGCAAACAACATCCATATTTCATTTCTAAGAGTGTACTCAGCTCCCCCACAAATGCATGTTCCTCACAAATGTGGCTTAATTTGAAAGGTAAATATACAGGCTTTCCGACGGTATAAGATGTATTGCCATGAAGCATTGTTACAACAAATAAACAATCTACCAAACACAGATTTACTTTTTGTATTAAGTTTAGTTACCCTCAAGGGCCGGTTGAAACTGAGAGACCATATACATGAATCTCTATCATGTCACATAATAGCCTATGCATTGGAATATTATTAGTTTTAGTAATAACTTAATAAATAACTACATCTGAAAGCATAAATCTAGGGAAATTCATTGCAAGCTGTGTACAACTATTGTATAATTTGCTTTAAAAATGATGTTGGTAACAATAACACATGGCTGTGCATTGGTACTGTACGTGGACACACAAATACATTGTGGGCACACACACTGACCTTTCTGTGTTTGCATAAAATAAACCCATTCATGTATTAGATTATAGATCATTACTCATCCATCAAAGATTAAAAAAACCCCGTCTATTATCTGAATTTGGCTATTTGATATTCTGAAAGCCTGTTTTAAATTGAGATCGGAGAGAGACCCACTGGCCCGGAACCTGCCATGTGACTATATCAGCACTGATTTCAGCCTGTCACTCATTATTTCAACAAGGAATCGAGAGGGGGAGCGGCCTGGAGGAGGAACATGAGAGCAGACCGAGATCGCTGAAGTTGTCATGTCTCCTTAACAAGCAAATAAGAGGTTCATATTGTGAAAGCAGAGACTCTATTTGCTTATAATCAACACACGCTTTTGACACAAATCCGTGTTTGTTGCCACATTTGACTGTTTTTGATGAAGCGGGTCACATTCTGGTGAGAATGCAGGCTGCCTTTAACTCTTGGATTTTTTTATGGGCTTTTTGGACGGCTAAGGCTAGCATACTTGGCTCCGTTTTTTGTGTTGAAATGTTGTCGTGAATTGTATTCCTTAAGGCACTGCCTCGTACTGGAGCTAATAAAACATGCCGGCTCGTCTCCATTAAGCACAAACGTGTTTTTACGTTCTCATCCCTCATAAAATTGTCTTACCTTTGGCATCAATTGTTGGTACTAATTCCCTATTACTAAGAGTGATGCTGCTGGAAACAATTTATATAGAGACGCTTTGGGGCGCATTAAACAAAAATTAGATTAATTGTAGGACATGTAATTTCTTGATACCATCTTTAAAGTGGCAGATATCAAATAATATATATTCTTTACAAGCTCTCCTGGCCCACATAAAACTAGGTAGCGGGTTGGTATTGGCCCGCCAGCCTTAGCTTTGACACCCCTTATATATAATGCCTGGTATTTTTAGGTCACTGGGTCCAGTGCTGTTATACATCCAGATGCTTTCCACTTGAAGAATGTGTGTGTGTGTGTGTGTGTGTGTGTGTGTGTGTGTGTGTGTGTGTGTGTGTGTGTGTGTGTGTGTGTGTGTGTGTGTGTGTGTGTGTGTGTGTGTGTGTGTGTGTGTGTGTGTGTGTGTGTGTGTGTGTGTGTGTGTGTGTGTGTGTGTGTGTGTGTGTGTTGTGTGTGTGTGTCAGAGGGCCCTGTGTGTGGCAGCAGGCTGGCATTGCGCCCCCCACTGAGCCTCGTTCTCCTCGGGGTGCACCAGGTCTTTGTAGGGGATGTGCAGTTTGAGGACACAGTACCTGCGGTCCAGGTCCGAGTCCGGGCTCGGGCAGTGGTTGGAGTACCCGCGGTACTTTTCCTGTGTGCAAAACAAACACAACGTAAAGACACAGGTCGAAGCTCCAAAGTGTTTTTTTGTGGAGTGAAATGACCCAGAAGAGCTGTCTGAACTATCTAGGTGACAGGAGAGGAGCTGGAGTAAAGTGCTCCTTCACATCTGTCCGTTATCCCATGATGTGTCGGAGATTATGAAAACACCATAGTTTGATCCTTTGGTGAACATAGATGCAATCGCTCAATTTTTAGAAGAAATTAATATAGAGGTACTAACATAGATAAGGTAAAGATTACATCATATGTTTATTTCAAACAAAGATATTTTATTGATGCCCAGGGGACGATGGATATTGTTTTATCTGCTCCATTTATAGAATAAATTAACAGTAATGTGCAGATTTAGTCTCGTGAGAAATGTATTTGCTGCTAATGTTCATTTTTAGTTGTATTATATTTTAGTTTTTATTCTATCTTCTAAACATCACACTGTGGCGGTCCGCTACTGAAACCTCTTTAATGTTTAAATTCATCGGAATCATTTTGATTGAGATACTTCATTTGAAAATGCTGGTTAGATAATTTCAGTTTCTGTTCTTTTGATCTGTGGACTGGATTGTTTTTTGCAACATGTCCG